TTTACCCCTTCTTCCAACCCGTAACATTCCCTCAGACGACTTGTTTGTCACTTACAAAGTTCGTCGCCAAGTAGCCCGGTAAGTAGTTTACCATAAAATAGAATGCAGATTCTGAAGCCTCGTCAACCACTGAAGCTGGGGGCCTTCAAAGTGAGAACTTTGAAGCAAGTAGGTCAACAAGCGTGTCCGGTGCGTACAATGTACTCTTTGGGGATTGATGTCCGCTGCGTATCGGAGACTGGAATCCAGGATCCAACTATTATAAGCCACTTAAGTGCATCGGGGTTATCCTAGAGGTTCTTCCTACACGCGTCAGGTGATGGTGAAGCCCGTTCAGTAGGCCAGCGTGGCGTGGACATCAACGTACAGCAAAATACAGTGAAGCGAACTTCACTGATCGCTGCCAAACCCACAATGCATAAAAGATTAGCGGTAAATTTAAAGCTGGACAGGGATTGGACCTACTTTGAGGGAGAGAGAAGAAGGTGAACCACTATGGTCAACACACAGAGTGCACAAACGAACTCTGCACACACACCGTTTCAAGCGTTCTGGCCTGATAAGAAACGACAACAAGAACGCCACTGCTGTCGGTTCGTTGCCATATCCTTCAATGTCTCCAACCAACCGGTTGTGGAGTCTTTCGGATCCCAACATGGAAGGCGTCAGACACCTACTCCACATAATGGCCCCGTGCATTTCTTCATGCCTCGTCTCCACGTCATCTGTTGACCTTCACGCGGTTTCCTCCAGCCCAAACTAACTACAGCTAATAAAGCGAGGTGCGGCAGACGATGGCTGCGCATACGCGTTACATGCTCTAGCCAACGAAGTCTACTAATCTGAATTCGGTGTGTTAGCAGGTTTATCCCTGATTGACTCCCAAACACACGGCGGCTAACCTCCACGTTAATAACCCGTTCGCTCCATCCCACGTGAGCTCAACTGCGTAAACATCGGAAAATCGCACAGCTTCTCTCCCCTTGCCCATTCAATACCTGCGTTTTGGAGTCCCTTAGTGCGCTCTCCAGTATTTCGTCTACGACGAAATTGAACAGGAACTGCCAGAGGGCACCTTTGACGAACGCCGTTACTGGTGACGAATGGCCCATTTAGTTCATCACAGACCCTTATACGACAAGAGGTATGCCAGTACAGTGACCTCAGTAGATTATAGTACTTCTGGGGCATTCCTTTTCGAAGAAGAGAGCCCATCAACGCTTCGCAGTCAAGTGAGTCGAAGGCTCCTTTCAAGTCAAGGATCGTTGGTCGGCGGTGGGTGTGACGAAGCTCAAGGATCTGACGCAATGTAAAAATGTGATCAATACAACTACGGCCAGGCCCGAATCTGGCTTGCTGTCCACGGATGTTGATCTCTCTTAAAGAAGTCAGACATCGAAGTATGATAGGGGTTAGCACTTTGGTGACGATCGGGATCAAACTAATTCCGCAGTGGTTTACGCAATCGCTACGAGATCCTTTCTTGAAAATGGGAACGATCAGTGATTCGCCCCACGATGAAGGAATGCACCCTTGCGTACAAATGTTGCGCAGTAGGGTAGTACTACAGCTTTCGAGGTTATCACCCCCCCCCATCTTGAAGAGTGGGAGGGAGCTTATCTGATCCTGCTGCTTTGCCTCGCTTCAGAGCCTGAATGCAGGACTGAACTTCTGCTTCCGTTGAAGGATCGCACGACACTGCCCAAGGAGCTTTAGTTGCGGCTGAGGCAACCTGGTTAGCGGCAGGCCAGCTGAACTGTTCTCTGAAGTATTCTGCCCAGCGATCAACTCGTTGATACCTTTTGTGAATAGCTTGTCCCACCTTATCACAGACTGTTTCACTAACTGGAGTTTGCCGACCTCCCGTATTGCGCATCAGTCGGAACGGTCTTTGACCATTCCCTGATGCAGCTGCGATTTCCATTTCACTAGCTATTGTTGCCCACCAGTTCTCATGGTCCTTCTTGAGGCTCTTTGTAAGCTGGCGTTGTAGATGCCACCTAACTCTGTTTTGATCCTGGCGGGTTGGGACTTGTTGTTTTTTCTCCATCGGGGCTACTGACTCCTGAGATATCCAATGCCTCCGACGGGCTTGAGGTTCAGACCTATATGCAACATTCGCCGCGGAATGCATTGCTCGTCTAATCTGATCCCACTGATCATCTACATCACCAGGTTGAGGCACGCTTATCCTACGCACTAGCTCCGATTCATAGCGCACACGAACTGCTGGGACATATAGTCGATGATGACCTATACGAGTTTGCTGGTTTTGTCGCCGACCAGTCAGTTGGAAAGTGAACTGCATCAAAACTAATGCGTGGTCAGACGCAGGTGGTCCAAAGGGACCTACAATTTTGCACTGAGCCACACCAGCGGTAGCTTACTGCTATGT